GCCGTTTCAGCCCAAACTTTATTGTTTAATTTTGTTTTATCAGGTGAATCTGGTTCTGGGTTCTATCTGCGGGTTCTGCTGGTTCTATCTCTTGCTGCTGGACGCTCCACCTGTCCAGGTGTACCTTCCACCGTCAGCTGGCTCCGCCCCCGAGACCCTCCACAGGAAGCAGCGGTGCAGAAGCAGCTCCTGTTTCCTGTTGTTCCAGCGGTCCGTGAACGCAGCACCGGCAGCGGCCCCGCCCTGTCCCGGTCTGCTCGGTCTGCACGCGCTGCACCGACACTCCCCGGTGCGTCTCCGGTGTGTCTCACATCAGAGCAGTTTCACTTTTCGTTCTCCGGTTCGGTCCGGCTTAGATGGCGGCTCACCGCGTGGGGCGGCGGGTGAACCGGGTGTGCGGCAGCCCGTCCCCGAACCGGGATCCGGGTCAGAACCTGCAGCGGCGGCAGGCCCGGGTCACCGTGAAGTACAACCGGCTGGAGCTGCAGCGGCGCCTGGACGTGGAGAGCTGGACGGACCGGGGGCTGGAGCGGCTGTACCGGGGCCGGGTGAGTCCCGCAGGAGCACTGCTGCACAGTACTGCAAGTACTGCCAGTAATACTGCTGCACAGTACTGCAAGTACACGGACTAGTAGTATAAATACTGCCAGTAATACTGTAAATACTGTCAGTAGTAACGCGTGTCCTCCTCAGGAGGACCAGATGCCTGAAGAGCTGAACATCGACGAGCTGCTGGACCTGAAGACTGTGGAGGAGAGAACACACAGACTGCAGGTAACACACCTGGTACACGTGTGCAACATGTCTGTAACATGTCTGTAACATGTCTGTAACTGTGTGTAACCTGTGTGTGTGTGTGTGTGTGTGTGTGTGTGCAGGACGTCCTGCAGTCGTGTCCCAGCAGCACTGAGGTGAGTCCATCCTGACGTTCATGTGAAGGTCTGTAGATGAATGTTCCAGACGGTGGAGGAGCTCCTGGAGCTGCAGCTCTTGTGTTTGTCAGTGAGCAGCTGCTGGTTCGTCTCCAGCGTCAGGAGCTCAGAGGTTTTCTGTCCGACTCATGGAGGGAAAACTGCTTCCTGTTGTTCTTATAACAGATACTAAAGTTGGTCAACGCTGATCTGACAACTGGAACAGGTGCAGCACCGATAAGATGTTAATAAGTTACTGATCAACGCAGCAGGTTGTTGAAGTTCTACCACCAGACGCTGCTCACAGTGTTGCTCAGGCTGCTGCAGATGTTGCTGCGGTTGCTGCACACGTTGCTGAGGTTGTTGCTCAGGTTGCTGCAGATGTTGCTGAGGTTGTTGCTCAGGTTGCTGCACACGTTGCTGAGGTTGTTGCTCAGGCTGCTGCACACGTTGCTGAGGTTGCAGTGAGCTGTGGCCTGCAGGTGTCTCTCTTGTCAACCTTCTCTCTCGTCCCACCAGGTGTTCATCAGCGAGCTGCTGCTGAAGCTTCAGGGTTTACAGAAGCAGGAGGATCTTCACAACGACGGCATCGACCTGCCGCAGCTCCACATCTACCCCACCCGCCCCCAGTCAGCCGACAGGGAGGTGCTGCACTGACAAAACAAGCGTCCCCGACTGATCCTGACCTCAACCCCCAACAGAGCCGGAGCTGGTGTGTAAAACAAACACACCTTAGCCTCTGTCCGGGGTCCCTCCACTGTCTGACGGTTCTGAACAGCAGCTGCAGCTTCACGCTGCTCAGTTAGAGGTTTAAACTCACCTGTAGTCTGAACGGAGCAGAACCTGAGAAACCAGCTCGACTGAACTCTGATGTCCACATTTTATCTTCACAACCTTCACGTCTGTTCGTTTCTCAGCTGCTTCCTGCCTCGTTCCTACGTCACGCTTAAGTCTTGTATTGTTTTTGTTTTTTTACACAATTTTGAATAAATATGGATTTGAAACCATGCTGCAGTGAGAGTTCTGTCTTTGAAGGAGGCACTTGGACTAATTCAGCATCACAACCAGCTGAAAGGTGCATTACTGCCACCTGCTGGGCTGCAGTGGAAGGACAGCACAGCTTGTGGCAGGAGAACTGAATCAGTCCAACAGCCAGATCACAGAAAGAAACTGACATCACCTCATCTGTTGGAGCCATTTTAGGCTTTTATTTATTTACAAAAACTGACAGAGAGCATTTAGAGTTTAACTGTGACACGTTAAATATGAAGCATTTGTTAAATAAGGAGCCTCCAGCAGGACGCTGGAGGTCCGGAGAGAAGCAGACTCGCTGCTCAACACCGTCTGTGGGACGGAACGTCACATCCAAACACGATCAATATTCACATTTCTACACTCTGCATGTGTACAGTCAGGGCATTTATTATTAATCGCAACATTATTGATCAGCTAAAGTGCTTTAGTGCAAATAAAAGACTTCTTTTGAACGACTGGTTTCCTCTGGATCCACAAAGGAGCTTCAAACCGACACCGGACTGACCTGCAACACACAGACGGCGTATGAACGAGTTGTTTGAGGCGGATTCAGATGACGTGTGATCTGTAAAGTTGTCTCTCAGGTTAATGTTGTGGAGAACACGTGTTCCAGATGTTCCAGATGTGTCAGAACAAACCCACCTTGTTGTGGCAGAAGCCCCGACCCAGGATCAGACCCAGCAGAGCGTTCAGGATGTTGAATCCACAGAGGAGCGTCTGCAGTGCGCTGGTTCCCCCCATCACACTGAACAGAACCACATTCCACTGGACCACAGAACTGGGCTCCAGACACACCCCCGACCACAGGGTCCGGTTGTACAGGTACCCAGAGTGTCTGGGGACACAGAGAGAGACGGGTCAACACAGAACCAAACATCTGGACACCTTCAGTCACCTTCATTCAGCTGGTCTGAGGGTCTCACCGGTCTGGGAGGGGCTGCAGCGGAACCCCCCAGGTCGGACCAGAGGACGAGTTGTAGAGACACAGAGGACCCTGAGAAAGACCTGTGGCGCTGACCAGACAGCAGGCGGCAGCAGCGAGCAGGCACACACAGGACAGCAGCACCTGGCACAACATCTGGAACACAAGAAACAACATCTGATACATCAGTCATACAAAGAAGCACCAACATCTGGAGCAATTGGAACACCCATACCACCGGGCACAACACCTGTAGCACCTGGCATGACATCTGGAAAATAAGGCAACATATCTGTGACACCTGGTACAGCATCTGTAACACCTGGTGCAACATCTGTAACACCTGGTACAGCATCTGTAACACCTGGTACAGCATCTGTAACACCTGTTGCAACATCTGTAACACCTGTTGCAACATCTGTAACACCTGACACAACATCTCTAACACCTGTAACATCTGCCACCACATCTGTAACACCTAGCACAACTCCCACAACACCTGGTGCAACACCTGGAACACCTGGACCAACAAGTTGCTGCTCCTGCAGACTGTCAGCTCACCTGACTCCTGAAGGCGCAGCAGCCTCTCTCCTTGCTGCTCTGGATAAACCCTCGAGCTCCCAGTAAAACCTGAAATCAGACAGTTGCTGGGAGTCAAACATGTCAGAAGGTTTAACGTCTGATTCAGCCTCAGAGAAAAAATAAACCTGCCCACATGATGAAATGCACACGGCTGAGTCACGCTGACATGATGCCACACACACACATGTACCATGATGCCGGAGCCCCAGACGCCGGTCGCCCAGGAGGCCTCTCTGGTCACATGACCCTCCAACAGGAAGTGGACCTTCAGGTCAGGAAACAGCAGCAGGACGTTGGCCAGCATGCAGACGATCGCCATGGGAACCAGAGACACGCCGACACACCGCAGACACCTCGACACACACATCTGTCAGCACGAAGGAGTCGACATGTTTACCGTCATTTACACCTGAAGACCTTTGTTTTTGTGTCCAGGTGAAAATCCAGCGATGCTTTAATGTCATGAAGTAGGTTTGAAACTGTGCAGATGAGGAATCAGTTTCTTTAGAATCTGGTTCATGTTGTTAAAAACCTAAAACCTGAATTAGAAAAGTTTCTTGTCTTGTAAATTTTAAAGTGAAAACATTTTAGAGCTTAAACCAGAATCTACAAACAACAAAGTCCTTCTGATTAATGGGACCAGTCATCTGATTTAACACCAGCCTGTTATTGTGTAAACGGTCCAGCAGGTTGAGCTCAGAAACGTCTTCCTGAAGCTGAACTTTGTGCTGAAAGAAGCTGAAATGAATCAGTGCAGCTTTAGAGTGGACACAGGTCTCATCTCTACTAAAAAGATAACGGACGTTAACAAATACATGTTAATTATTCTTTCACATGAGAACAACATTTACGTTGACTAGAAAACAGTTTCAGCGTTTGTCTCCAGTGTCTGACTTTGTGTTTCATACAAAGATATTCAGTTTATATTCAACAGAAACCAGATCTGACCAAACAGCTGAGAATAAACTCACGATGATTTAATAAATTACTGATTAATTTCACTTGTTCTCATAAAAAAAGATCAATAATTTCTGCACTATAATTTCAATACTCACTGAATCCAGCAGAGAACCAGACAGGACATATACATACATATCTATATAAACACAACATGAGAGAACAGTGCTGATAGCAGAGAAGAAATAGCGACTTCCTGTTTATACGTTTTTTCGCCTCTGAATCAGCGTCACATGAAGACGAGTCGACTCACCGTGAAGCTGCAGGAGACGCTCAGTTTAAGCTCAGAGAGGAACCAACGGATGCTTTTATAGGGACACCAGGACACGAGGACACGAGGACACGCCTGCTGCTCAGCCAGGAACCTGCTGCATGGAGCTTACATCAGCAACAAGTCAGCGGACATCACAGTCCTCCTCCGAGACGCAGGACGTGAGGTGATCGAGGTAACTTCAGGTGTAACTCTGCGTTTTCAGCCCTTACCTGGCACGTCTCCACGGTAACTGATGCTGAAGCCCTCACCTGCTCCGGAGCAGCTGCTGTTCCAGAGACCAGAGGATTAAAGCCCCTCCTACTGACCAATCAGCATTAGAAGCCAGAAGAAGCTCAGATAGTCAGAGGAGAAGATTTTAAAGTGATTTCATTGGTTGAGGACGATAGTTTGTTCTTCTTGTGAGAAACATATAAAGTTGTTCCTGCTTATTCTACAGTCTTCTGTGATAGGAGTCTTTTGAACTTGTTTTTATGTTTTACTCATCTCAGACCATCTAGCACTGCAGGCCTGCAGCTGAAGCAGTGAATCAGCTGAGCAACATGTTGACCTGACAGGTTCTAGCAGCCATCAGACCTACAGGACCTCCATAAACCTGTTCACCTTCACACTGTCTGTAGTTTCTGGCAGTTTTTCCTCCTAATTTGACTTTAAAATCTTCGTATTTCTTTAGTTTTGCTGTTTGCTCTTTATTTGTGAAATGCTGCCGGTAGACCTTCTGTGTTTGTGATTGGTCATCTGTAGCTCCGCCTCTTCATGTGAACGCTGTCAGAGTGAGATGGACAAACTCTGAGTTACCTCCCTGAGATGAAGCCGGATAAATCCTGGATGTGTTGGACTCTCTGAACCAGAGGACACGGATCCAACTGTACTGAACTTACATCAACAACAACAACAACAACAACAACAACAACAACAACAACAACAACAGTGATGCTGTGTGGATGAAACAGGTAAACGGAGGAACTAGGTCAGGACACATGTTCCGTTTGTATCTGGCCACTTCGTCTTTCTCAGCTGTTCTAAAAGCAGCCGTCCTATTTTAGCTCCTCTGTGAGTCACTGCGCTGGTCGGAAGACAGCAAGGCCTCATGGGAAACCTGCTCATCACCCAGCGGTGACATCATCGGCCTCCTCCCCCTCAGCATGACCAGCTCTGTGTAGGTGACCCGGTCTGTCGGCTCAACTCGGACGCTGACACATGCGGAGCTTCAGCTGACTGCAGGGTTCCTGTGAGCAGAACCGAGGTCCTGGTCCGCTGCCAGAGCAGGTGGACGTTGGTTGGTTGGTCCAGTTAGTTCGGTTGCTCAGTGTTGGTCAGGTCGTTAGTCTGGCAGGTGGTCTGTTTGGTTTGGCACATGGACCGGCTGGTCAGGTGGATGTTCCTGTTGGTGTGGGGCTGGTCTGGTTGGTCTGGGTGTTTCCAGCTGGTTCAGTAGTTGGTCTAATTGGTCCAGTTTGTTTTGTGATTTGTCTGTTTGGTTGTGTTGTTGGTCTGACTGATCTGTGGTTGATCCGTTTGGTTTTGCGGTTGGTCTGGTTGGTCGGGTTGGTCTGGTTGGTCCAGTAGGTCGGGTTGGTCTGGTTGGTCCAGTAGGTTGGGTTACCTGTCCAGGTGAACCTGCCTTCACCCTGAGTCAGCTGGGATAGGCTCCGCCCCCTGTGACCCTGGTGAGGATGAAGGTGTAGAGGTGATGGATGGATGATCTGGAACCATCTCCAATAAGTCTCTGTCTGTCTGTCAGGGCTAGAACCAGAGTCCATGTTGAAGAGTTCTGGTCAGTCCAAACCCTCCTAAAGAAAAAGTTCTGATACAGAAGTTTGAGCTCCAGGGTTTTGATTGACAGCAGAACCTGAGCATGGAGGTTCCTGACAACGCTGAGACATTTAGAACCAGATGTGGTTGATCAGCAGACTGAGCTCATCAGGACATCACATCTGCGGACATAAAACCAGAAACATGAGACATTTGAGTGTGAAGCTCTGATTCTCAGGACGGCGGTCGGTTTGATGACTTGAGTCATCAGGGTCACATGACCGCAGGGAAACCACAGAAACCTCAGCGTGGTAACGGAACTTCCTCTCAGACTATATTCAGACGTCTGAATCCACATATGAAGGCTTTACTGTCCCATGTTCCGGCGTCATCAGTGGTTAGAATCACATCAGACTGGTCACACTGGTACCATTACTGTGTGCTGCCTGCTGAAGTACAGAACCAGTCCATGAGGTTTGGGGTTGGTGTTGGTCATGTTGCTGACTGTCTCCAGTTTCTGTCCACAACAACACAATCGTTGCTCTTCAGCCTGCAGGTCTGAATCTCTGTGTCTTCTTCTTCTTCTTCAGTTCAAGTTTCTGTGTTTGGACTCAGTTCAGCAGATGGATCCCAGATGGAGCTTCACCTGCTTCCAGATCAGAACTTCAGGAAACGAGAAGCTGTAGAGAAGCAAGCAGCTGACTGACTGGAGGAGGAACAACCTGTCCCTGAGCTTCACGGAGGTTCTGATGAGGTGAGATGATCTGCAGGTGTGTTCAATCAGCCAGGTGCAGTGAGTCAGGCCACGCCCCTCTGTGAGTTAGGCCACGCCCCCAGAAACACTGAAAGAAAATGATGAGAACCAAAAGAAAAACCAAAAACCAACCTAACCATGGAACACGACAAAACAGTTTGTTTTATTATAGTTAGAACATTTTTAAAGTGTTTTCAAGCTGCATTTTATTTAAATGAACCAAAACCAGACTGCATTAGTTAATTAATAAATGAATGAATAAATAATGACAGTAAGCATCAGTAAAATAAAGACGTTCGAGTGGATTTAAACAGTCAAACAGTTTAATTTTAAAATCAGATGTTGTCAAAGAACATATTCACACCTCTTTCATGTTTGTGTGTAAAATATGAAAACACACACTGAGCTGAATGTGTGAAAACTACGTAATGTTCCAGATGTTTCTTTGCTCTATGTAGAGAACTCTGGACCTCCAGACCTCTGGACCCCAGACCTCTGGACCTCCAGACCTCTGGACCCCAGACCTCTGGACCTCCAGACCTCTGGACCTCCAGACCTCTGGACCCCAGACCTCTGGACCTCTGGACCTCCAGACCTCTGGACCTCCAGACCTCTGGACCGTAGACCTCTAGACCAGACTATCTGCTGATAAAAGCTTTTTTTCCTCCAGTGTTTCATATTAAAGTTTTCCACATGTTTAGTTGCATGACTTGCAGCTAAAACATCAGCATCTCACTTCTGCTTTATCTGTTTGTTTTTTGTTTGTTTTTTCAGATTTCAACTCATCTACAATCAGAGATTATTGACCAGCTGTCCAGTGTAACAGATTCTGGATCAGTGACATGATGAGAAACAAACACCTGAACAGTCACTTTACTGCTCACGTGTGTAATTCACCAAAGTGTCCACCAGAGGGCATCGTCTCGTTACATCTGCTTTAGTCTCCTCATTTACTGTCAGATGAAAGAGCAACAGTCTGTGATAACGATGAACTAATGAAGGTGAACTTTCACATCTGAATATAATCTGTGTGTTGACTCAGATTTAAAGAGATTATTATTATTTTGTACATTTTAAAGTTGTCCGTAGGTGTGAATGTGAGTGTGCTTGGTTGTCTGTCTCTAAGTGTAGCCCTGTGATAGACTGGTTACCTGTCCAGGTGAACCTGCCTTCACCCTGAGTCAGCTGGGATAGGCTCCAC